CTCCGCTCGCGTGGCCCCACCCCAAACCCGAGGATCAAAATCCACTTTCTGGGCCTTACCTGCCCACCGGCTATATACGCGGGATATGAAATCTTGGAGGTCAGGGAATGGGAGCCCAGCCCCCGCCTCTGCCGACAGTGCGGCAGCTTCGGCCACAACCAGACGACCTGCAGGTCAAAGCGACTGAACTGCCTGAAGTGTGGCACATCCGGCCACAAGGTCGATGAGTGCGACCGGGATCTCTACAGGTGCGGCCACTGTGGTGGCCCGCACCCAGCCTGGGATCGGATGTGCCCCGCATGGGAGTACCAAAAAAATAAGCTCAAAGCCAAGCTGGCGCCCCCACCCCCGCCCCCACCGTTCCCGCCGAGTTCCTACTCGGAGTCAGGTGCCTCTGAATATCCGGCGCTCTCGTCCTCTCCACGCAGGGCCTCACTCACGGACACCGTACCGAGTCGCGAAAACCCGCCGGTCCAGAGTCGCACCCCGAAAGCCCCTGTCCGTCGACAGCTGAGCGCGCCCGAGGCTGTGGAGACCCCCGCGTCTGAGCCGGAGCGGGTGACTGAATCGCCCCTCAGCCCGGACGGAAAGCAGACGGAGACGTCGGCCGGTCCTCCGGCTGTCACCCCGGGACAGGCGCAGTGCGACCGCGGCGACGACGAATCGGTTCCAAACAGCACCGGCAACATGGTGATGGAGTCATGGGTCGACAGTATCGTGGACACAGGGGCGGACTCAGACGTTTCTGACACAGAGACCGTCTCTACAATCGTGGGTCCGGTGGCCTCTCCGCCCGCCGACTTAGAGACGGATAAGGCCGCCCCAGCGGCGAGCCAGCATGTAAACGCAGACACTCAGCATCCGCGAGCCACGACACGCGCCCCGTCCCCAACCCCGTCAGAGGGGATGAAGACCAGAGCCGCAGCGGCGGCTGCTCGTGAAAAATCTGTTTAAAACTCAACACACATAAAACATGCATCGATCTGATGAATTCGTCCTCCAGTGGAACACTTCCTCTCTAGTGAGCCACTGGGGCGAATTCAAGAACTATATATTAAATAAAAAACCGTTGATAGCCGCCATTCAGGAGACCCATTTTCTGGACTCAGATTCCTCTAATTACAACTTTAACATACGTGGATATACTTTATATACAAATAACGTAAATGAAAAACCCCGCCGAGGCGGCTCGGCCCTTTATATTGCTAATAACCTCTTGCACCACGAAATTCAGCTCCGCACCACGCTTAACGCGGTCGCAGCTCAAGTCAAAATAGCGCAACATGACCTTGCCATCCTTTCCCTGTACCTTTCCCCAAGCCACAGCTTTTCCTCCTCTGAACTCCGCCAATTGTTTGTCCAGCTTCCCCACCCCTGCCTAATACTAGGAGATTTTAATGCCCACCACAGATCCTGGGGCTCAACAACGAACAACGCGCGCGGAACACTAATTGATAAGATAATGGATTCACTTGATCTCATTTGCATTAACCTTCGCCCTGGTGGGGGGGGGCCATTTTGGCCCCCCCCTGTGGTTTTTCAGCGATAACTCAGAAACCACTTGAGTTAGCGCCCTGAAACTTTGTATAGCTGTTTATTCAACATTTTTACATCATGTCCTTTTTTGGGGGGTTCGGGTCAGGTCAGGTCAGGTCACAAGGTCACCAAAACTGACACCACCTCTAAAAAAGTTCAAAGCTCTCTCAAAGGCACAGCTTTTATCCGATCGATGTAAAATTTACAGTACTTGAAGATGTCACCCAGCTCTACAAAATGGCTATCTCGGATTTTTTATAAATGTGACCTAAGGTCAGGTCAGGTCATCGCTGCTCCCCATTATAAGTCAATGGGAGAATCGAAAAGTAGTTGTTTTTCAGCTAAATCGGGCGTGATTGTTCCTATATTTCGTTATTGAAGTGTCTTGGGTCAGCAAATCACAGCCCATGTGAAACCATTTGCTTGTGACCTCGCTGAGGTCACGCTAGGTCATCTCCCTGGTCACCAGAGGTCACCAGCGGTTTTTCTGCACTTACTTGTTATTGAATAGAGATAGAGACTCCGTTCGACGTTTATCGTGTTTGTCTCGTCAATGCGGATCGAATGATATGCAGCATGACCTATTTCGGTAAGGTCATGACCTTGACCTGAGGTCAAATTTTCAAAATGACCTTTCGAGGTCAAACTATATATCATTCGACGCGTCTCGACGAGCCAAGCACGATGGTGCATGAATCGTTTCTCTATTTTCTCGTGAATGCATGCTATAGTTAAAAACATTTTCAACGAAATTTGCCAAGTTGACCTTGCATGACCTCTGTAGGCCAAACCGTTGAGCTGAGGTCAAATCTGACGAACCTTGGCGAAAGAGCTTGAAAAGAGCTATCGATTGCTTTTTTCCGCGGCTCTCTAGCTCTTCTAGTTTCCGAGCTACAGCGGAATATGTCCGGCAACACCGAAAACACTGAAATTTGACCTATGATGACCTCTAGCGACCTCAATATTGACCTTAGCGAAAAAATGACCGAAATACTTTCGAACGTACTTGTTATGGGCTTTCGTTTGCTTTTTTCCGCGTCTTCCTAGCCCTCTTCGTTTTCGAGTTAGACGGGGGGGGTCATTTTGGCCCCCCCCCCCACCAGGGCGAAGGTGGCTCAGACCCACACCAGGGCGCGGGTTAACAACCGCACACCCACTTTCACCAGACGCAACCAAGGTCAAGTCATACACTCCGTCATCGACTTGGCCTTCACAGACACTAACACCGCGACACTTTTCACTCAACACGTCGGAGATGATACATTGTTTAGCAACCATTATCCCATTCACTATCAACTTAATGTCCCTTCAGGACAAGCCAATTTTACATTTCTTCCTCGTTGGAACTTTAAGAAAGCTGATTGGGCCTCCTTTCAAAAACATATAGATGAACACACTCCCACCCCTCCCCCTGACATCAACACCTTTTTAAACGTGATTCTCGCTGCTGCTCACCAAAATATTCCCCATACCCACCCCCCACGTGAAAACAAAGCTGCCCCTTGGTGGAACGCTGACTGCAATCGAGCTGTAGCTCTGCGGAAGCGTGCCTTACGAGTCTTTAACAAATGTATTTGCGATTACCATGAAAATGCCCTCCGGAAGGCCCGATATGATGCTTCACAAATAATACTTAAAGCAAAACAAGAAGGATGGCACTCCTTCTCTAACAGCTTTAATAGATTTACTCCCCTTTCTAAAATCTGGTCGCTAATTAGAGTTTTTTCGACAAGGCGCAGCACAACTTACAAAATTCCTCATCTCTACATTAACAACACCCACTACACCACTCCCCTTCAAGTTGCGACACAATTCGCCCAACATTACGCACGAATATCTTCTGCTCAACAATACACACAAGTACAACATGACAGCTTTAACACAACACTCGACACCCTCTCCTTCGACTCAGCAAATACTGAAAATTATAACAAGCACTTTGACTTGTTCGAACTTAGACACGCCATATCTCGATGTGGTGAAACGTCGGTAGGGCCGGATCAGATAGCCTATCCTTTCTTCAAAAACCTTTCTGAATCCGGCCTTGAAAACCTTTTGATAGTAATCAATAATCTATGGGAAAACAATTTGTACCCCGAGAGCTGGAGAAACAGTACCATCGTCCCCATCCTTAAACCCTCCAAACCACCCTCCTCCCCCTCTAGTTATAGACCTATATCCCTAACCAGTTGCGCTGCTAAATTGACAGAACATATGGTCAATGGACGGATTAGGGCATATCTAGAAGGTAACTACCTCCTCTCTCCACATCAAACAGGATTTAGGTCCGGCCGCTCCACGGCAGACAATATAGTCCACCTCATTGATGACATCCAGAAGGGCTTCCAAAATGACATGTATACATTTGCAGTTTTCATTGATTTTCAAAACGCCTTTGATAAAGTAAATAAACAAGCCCTTCTGATCAAACTTCATAAGACAGGTATTCGCGGCCACATGGCCCATTATATCTCTAATTTCCTCAAAGATAGAACATTTAACGTACGATGCGGTAACACATTTTCTCCCAATCTTAATCAGGATCACGGCCTCCCTCAGGGCAGTGTCCTCTCCCCAACCCTCTTCCTTATTATGATTAACGACCTTTTTCAAAACCCACCTAGTAGCCTTAAGCATTCTGTTTTTGCCGATGATGTGGCCATTTGGGTAACGCGAAGAAACATTGACTCGGCTTTTGCCTCCGTTCAAAACGCAATGGAGGATATTCATAGCTGGTGCGATAAATGGGGCCTAGTCTTGTCGCCCAGCAAAACAGTAGCACTTATATTCTCCCATAAGTCCCGTTTTAAATTTGATACCGAACTTAAAGTAAATAACCAAACTATCAAATACGTTAAAACGTTCAAATACCTCGGCATCACACTAGATAGTAGACTCTCCTTTAAACATCACTTTGAAGACGTTAAAATGCGTTGCACTAGGCGCCTCAACATACTTAAGTGTATAGCAGGAAAGGATTGGGGTGCTGATCGCAGCACCCTCCTTAACCTATACACGTCCCTAATCCGTCCTATCCTGGATTACAACAGTTTTCTATTTGATGATATAGCTTCTAATCAGATCGAATCACTTCAAGTTATACAAAATAAGGCCCTGCGTATAGTTACAGGAGCCCAATGCACCACAAATATCAAGGCTCTCCACGCAGAATGTAATATTCCTCTTCTCTCTCACCGCCGTAAACTCCAACTCCTTCGCTTCTATGCGCGCACTTTCTTGTCCCCTTATTCGCCTTCGCACCGCATTGTCTCCAATCGATATACGGACGACCCTCCCACAACGGCCCAACTCAAATACCCGATAATCGCCTATCGCATAGAAAGGACACTCAGTGATTTCCAGTTGGATTTTCCATCTATTTTTCATCGGCCACCCATCTCTTCTTTCTTTCTGCCAGCCATAGAGAATATTGCATTCCTGTACGCAGAGGCAAAACCAAAAGTCACAAAAGAAGAAAGCATTCAACTTTTCTATGAGCATAAAGAAGAACATAAAGACTATGCATACATATATACAGATGGTTCAGTTTGTGACGGGAGGACGGCAGCCGCTGTCACATCTGACCATCATAACAAAACAAGTAGGCTACACGACGACCATAGCATATTTAGTGCTGAGTTGATAGCCATTCACTCAGCACTCAAATATGTCTCATCGAAAAACATAGAAAAGGCTGTGATCTGCACAGACTCAGCTTCATCGGTAAAGGCAATAGCTCACAGAAAAATGGAAAAAAACGAAATCGTTTATAAAATAAAAAAGATGATTATTGGCTTTACCGATGAAAACAAACACGTCATTCTCCTGTGGATTCCGTCCCACGTTGGAATACAGGGGAATGAAAAAGCGGACAAGCTAGCCAAAGAAGGTCTTCATCTCCCATCTCGAAATCATCTCGCTCTCCCCCTTCCGGATTTTCTGTCTTCGCTCTTCCGTGCCTTCCAGAGATACCGCCAAAAATGCTGGATAGATGATCATACACCACATCTCTTCTCCATTAAACCGAAACTTTGCCATTTCTACTCTTCCCATCAAAACACAAGGATCAAAGAGAGAGTCCTAGCCAGGCTCCGGCTCGGCCACACACAACTCACCCACAACTACATCCTGGACAGAGCACCTCCACCCATATGTCACCACTGCCGCGACCACCCACGCTACACCATCTCACACTTCCTCCTCCACTGCCCACACCTACACCAACACCGCAGACATATAGTGCAATACATTAACACACATGGACTCTCTCTCGACCTTCCGACTCTCCTGGGCGACACTCATCCGGATATCCACGACCTTCTGTTCGTCTTTCTCGCCGACGCTCGGATCATCAAGAGCCTTTAGCGTGTTAGGGCCGCGGCTGCCGCCCCTAAAACGCTAATCAGAGCCCTCGTCTCCCGGCTCACCCCCAAACTCACACATTAATTAATCGCGGTTACAGGGCTTTTTCCCTCGCGCCGTTTTGGCTTAGGTGCGAGGTTTTTGCCCTTTGCGTTAGGCGTCGGGTTTTTTATTATTTAGGACTTTTTCTCCCGACCATTACACCCCACAACAAGGCCCCGCCGGGGGGCTGGAGCCTAGAAGGTCTTATACCTTCTGTCAGTGCGATGAAAGCTTCCCGGCTCGATTACACTGACACCAGCTCACAAGTGTTCATGTCTATTATGTATTGTTAATAAAAGTCATTCCCACTGTTGTGTTTGCGACTCCAGACATCTCGGCTCTTTGGCTATACACGTAAGTACCTCCCTTAGCTTTGATTCCACATTAAGATAGGATCCCACGTTGTTTTTGCTACCGGGTTCACATAAACCGGTTTAACGTAAGACTTGCTGCCCGGCGAAAATTGCCGGAGTAACTGCCCCCTGCTCGGGTATGGCACTAGGCCGACCGAGCAAAAAAAAAAAAAAAAAGCAATGTGGGCGGGGACGGCGGGGGATATCCGGTGCGGTGCAGAGTAAAGATCCGGTCATCAGAGTGCTTGGAATTGGGTGAGTTGTATGTAGTTACCTTATGTTGCCGGCCCTCATAATTATTACAGTCATGGTCAAGACATCCAAGTGTCCGTTAACGGTTGCTGGTACAACACATCAGGTTATCACTTACCTATCTGACGCTAATTGTTTGGTTAGGTATGCTTTCACTGATTTGCCAGTTCAAGTTGTGCTCATTTATTTCAAGATTCTCATTATTTATAGACATTCCTTATCTATGTAGCCCCAACAACACTAGGCAGTCAAGTTCTTTTGTTAGTGTCCATCTCGGGGCCGGAAATTTTCACCTCCAACTCTATGCGAAGCGGGGCATATACCTAACATCAGGCAGGCAATGCGCGTTGGTTTCCTCATCCTCCTCTACTCCCCTTCCCGGTCTGAAGTTTCCAATGGCAATGCCTTATCTCTATGCTACGCACATTCGTGTGGTTCTGTATAACTGTCATCGAAACATCTGACCTAACCCATGTTTCATCCACAGCATGTCGACGAACGACGCGGAGAAAACCGCAAGGGTCTGGCGCCCCGTCGAAGTCCTTACGTACTTGGGCGCCCCTGGCGGAGCAGAGTACGCCTGCCTGCTTCTGAACCGTCCCGTAGATGGCAGGGAGGTGGAGGTTTCGCGCGTTTGGAACCGCGCGAGCCTTCGCTTGTCTGTGGACGGCGGAACAAACGTGCTCAGGAAATTAATAGAGGATCGGGACAAGCTCGCGCTGGAAGCCGCCAAACTGCCGGATTTCATAACGGGGGATTTCGATTCAATCACGGACGAGACACGGGCGTTCTTTAGCGGGTGTCGTTTCATCGCGACACCGGATCAAGACGAGACGGACTTCACCAAGGCGCTGCGAGTGGCGGCGGAGCGCGGCCCGGCTCACCTGGCCTGGGTGACCGTGGTGGCGGAGAACACTGGCCGCATTGACCAGGTGCTGGCCAACATCAACACGCTGTTCACGGCGCGCACGCTGCTGGCGGCGCCCGTCTACCTACTGGCGGCCGAGTCGCTGTCGTTCCTGCTGCCGCCGGGCCGCCACGAGATCCACCTGCCGCCCGAGCTGCGCTCCGACTGGTGCTCGCTGGTGCCGGTGGGCGCGCCGGCGGCGGCCGTCACCACCAGCGGTCTCCAATGGGACCTGGCCGGACAACCGATGGCGTTCGGCCAGCTGATCAGCACCTCCAACCGGCCCGTCAGCGAACTGGTCACGGTGGACACCTCCGAGCCGCTGCTGTTCTCCGTGGCCCTTCCCTGACCGCGCGGAGCCCGGCCGACCGCCGCCCACCCGGCTGTCCCCGGGTGGGCGGGGTGACCCGACCCCGGCCGGTCGTCCCTGTAGTGTTACTCACCATGTAAACTCGAGGAACGTGCTGTCCCATATAATTGCAGGGGACGTAGTGATTTGTAAATTAAACTAGTCATTTACAGCGTAACCATCACTCGATGGGATTCATTATGAACTCGATTTGAGGTGTGATTGTTCGGTGATCTCGCTTATGTACGACATATCGTGCGTTATCGTTCGCAGGGGCTGTTATTGAGTCGTACTTAATTGAAAGTTGCGCAACATGCCGTTTACTGTGTAGTCTTCCGTTTAAATTGTTAAGGAATTCGGATGCTTTGATAATTGTATTTTGAAGTGTGCATAACGTGACTTTGATAAAAGCATGTTATTCATAATCATGTACGTATCATTCGTGCCCACTCATATACAGGCCGGCATCTAGCGAGTAAAATTCACTTCAGTAAACGCCAGTCGTTCTGCTCAATCGTTCGCCGTGTCTTACGATGGCAATGAAGCTGATTTAATGGTATGTCGGCAACTGATATAGGGTACCCACGTACCTATTCGAGAGCTGCTTTGCTTGCCATTGGTTGATTTCGGAATGATATGTTGCATGATTGAGGCAAAGAATAAACGGTCTGGTCGCTTGACATCAGTTTATCTTACGCAATTTTTCAAAGCAATATCAATTTCAAACAATAGCAAGCAACAGTGGCGGATCCAGGGGGGGGGGGGGGCAAAATGGGCATTTGCCCCTCCCAGACGGCATAATTTTAACATTACGCCTATGGACGAGGCATGGAAAGAATCGATAAATTGTTATGGTCTGCCCCCCCCCCCCCAAACTCTAAGCTGGATCCGCCTCTGGCAAGCAAGATTCAAAACAATAATATCTTGCTTGCTGCGAGCGGTCAGCTACGCTCGACAGGCCGTCAAGTCGCCCAGTCAAGTCAAGAAAGTCAAGTCGCCCAGTCTAACCCGGAATGGGGCATACCGTCTGCAGGTGACGTGGTGCAAGCCGAATTATGTGCCCCTTCATCGCTTCGCGCTTCGTCCCTTTTGGACTATAGCTCTAAAACGAGTGTGGTCGCTTCGAGACGCAGTGCCTTGAAACTTAAAGGGGCATTAAAAAAATACAATTTTGTTTTTAGAACCTCCAGTCAAACGCTGACTAAGGAAAAATCGTCTCCGGATTTCCGGATACAAAACGCTTTCGACAAAACATAAACAAACCGTTTCAGTGTTTCCCCGTTCACTGTTCAGTTTATTTTTATTTTTATATTCCAGAGACGGAAGGAGTATAGGAATTAGGGGGCAGACATTGGGCCGGGCGGGCACCCTGGTGACTCGTGGTGGGGCTGAGCCCACCCAGTGGACAGGCCAACCAGCCCCCCCCCCCCCCCCTAGCAGTCACCGCACCCGGCTACGGGTCTGCTCCTGCCTCCTGGAGAGCTACCCGCATGGCCCATGCGGCATGGGATAAAGTTCCCTCCACGGTATATAGAGAACTGTTCCCTCCAGCCCGGAACAGGGGATGGAGGTGTAGAGAAGGATTTGGCTATCGTGAGGATGGAAACGACGGAACGGAGGATTCAGTTAAAAATATCTAGGGAAAGGTCATGTGAGTCGACTCGAGACTGACCTCAGGTGCCGATTGCCACGATCCATCCGCGCTCCATTGTTCCAAACATCATGAACTAGAGCTTACAATTTAGACGATAGATGTCGCACAAGGACAGCGCCTGATCGATGCTGTGCCGGATGGCTCGTGCGCACACTGTTCCAAGTGTTCCAGGCTATTTGGATAAGGTTTCAGAATTCAGATGCGAGCAATTAGCAAATGCAATAAAATGTAACCACTAACTAGATGACATATTGGGACGACATTTTCAGGTGATGAGGAGCTTTCCATCAAGTTACTAAGGCTTAAGCTCATCATGAGACCTATGGCATTAGGTAGGTATCATTTTGAACAGCCTATAACGTCTGGCCGTCACCAAGACCCAAGTGGAAAGTTTGCTGAAGATTTTGTAAATATCTTAGGAACTGCAATGGATGGACTGCAATTTCGTACCTTTTATGTGCTCTGTGTGCACGTTTCCTACATATAGGTATCTTTCAAAATTCAGATGTTATTTAGGACGAAAAACTCCGATGACCAATTACCTACAATAAGACCATATTAGAATTCAAAGGTCAAGGTGGAGCATCGGCCCTTGCATGTAGTGTATAAAACTTATCTAACTTGCGTGATCATTTGCGTGATCATTTTAACTAATCATTTGCGGCGTCAAAATAGCAGTAGGTAGATATCCATATTTCCTCTACTCCCATAGTTACTAACTTCCGACAATAACCCGGTTTACATAGCATATTTGACGAGGCTCTAGCTCGTTAATTTGGCGATAATTTCGATGCAGTGGTCTACAAATATTTAAAGGGGATCATTTTGTAAATTGTTAAGCACCATTGGCATCTTTTGCAACATCACGGACGGAGATATAAGCTTGCAACAAACCCTATGTAAACCGGGTTAATGATGAGCTCACGTGGCCGATCTGACGTCAGGTTGGTAGGTATTGCCATGCATTGCCTACCAGACATATTCTACCAGACCAGCTAATGCACGGGATGCGGGGCAAGTATATACGACAACTTTACGGAAAGTTCATCATTTGTGGTAGTCATGAGCTTGACGTGTAGGCTTTAGCCTTTATGCAGACTTATAATGGCTGATATCCTACGAGCCAGTGTGAGCATCGCCCATGCTCGCAGTTGTGCTACGCTGCCTGCGCTGTACCTATACCTATATACAAATATGTCAGCTACTGCAGTATCCGTCTCTGCATTGTACATCAGCCTTGGGGTGGCTGTCGTGACAGATCGCTCGTCTTTCACAGCAAGCTGTTGTGGTTGTCTTAAGTTACTGTTGCGCGGAACCATCAGCATTCATTGGCCGTAACAAAGAACTCCGCCTCCGTTAAATTTACGTTCGAAGCAAGCCTTAAAATTAGTGGTGGTCTGAGCGTCCGGTGGCCGGCCCGGCCGGCCTGTCACCCGATTGTAAGAAACCCACCGCCGGCATGAGTTGTGGTGACTGTGAAAAATATCTCGGCCCAAACGGCACTACAAAGTGGACTGGAAATGTTCGCCACGGCAAGCAAATTGGAGCTGCATTGTACCGCATGAAGAAAGAGGCTTAGATAGAAGTTACAGATGTCTTAGAAAATGAGACGTTTTGTACAGAAGTTCCACTTACAACAGCAGCTCATTGCATGCAACGACACGCCTTGCAGAGCCATCCAAAACATGCGTCTGAGGCAATAAACATACAATTGCAGATTAGCTCTCATGGAGCGCACAGCCCTCCAGCAAAAGGGTGGTTAGTTAACCGATGTGTTTATGGCTATAACTTTGAATGACAGAGACGCTCCAATAAAATGACCCATTACCCAATAGAAATGATAAGAGGGTTCGTGTGGACACTTCGGCAACGGTTTTCAACAACCATTAGACGTACTTTCATGAACGCAGATCGAGATCGACTATTGTGAAGTTGGCAACTAACCACTAGTGCCTGGAGGGCCGTATTTAAATAGCCCGAACATTAATCGGTAAGTAAGCAGGGGAGAGTGGAGTAAGACTCTCATTTTCCCTTTAGGGAAAATGAAAACAATCTCCGCATAATTGCATCCACGATTAAGATATGTGTGCATTAGGAGACCAACTATTTTTCCTTCTTTGCGAGCTGGAAATTGTGCATTATCACCTAGTAGGTACAGTGTAGGTGTATGTAGGTGTAGTGCGCGACACAGATGTTTAAAAAAAAGTCTTGCAAAAGGGCGTCTTACCCTTTGGGTGGGTAAAACGCCCCGAGGAGGGGCGTGTTACTTTATACTAATCTTATATACTTACTTATACTAACCTCATTTACCTGATACTTACCTTATCTTATAGTCAACTTATAGTCGGAGCCGATTATGGAAGTAAAGCCGGAGCCGGAGTCGGAGCCACCGAAAATCCATCAACTTTGCAGCGGTCATAGCCTTGTTCGCAGCCATTCAAGGTCTGCCGAGTCTGAGTCGGAGTTGGAGTCTATCAGAGTCGACAGTCGGAGCCCGGAGTTAGAGTCAAAGTTTTTTTTTTTTAATCGGAATCGGGGTCGGCATTGGAGGCGTCGAAAAGGCATAGACTCCGCAGCCCTGACACAGTGAATTTTATGGGGTCTTACCCTCAACTACTAAATACGTTTGAGCTCCATTTTTTTCTCAAGTGAATCAATCATGAGGCACAAACTAGTTGCAACACGTAAAGCGCCTCTATGAGTTATTGGCAAAATGCATCGGCAACATAATTTTAAGGCCCTCTCCCAGTCATTAGATGGAAAACAGTGGGACAAAAATTTATATAAAAAGGTCAGAACATAAAAATGCACATCGCCTGCAAACGACATCACCTCGGAACCGAAAATATTACCACTAGAAACAAAACGCAGAAACAAACGTTGCAAGAACTTACAAATATACCTACCTAATATATATTAACGGTTTAGGTACCTGCTAAATCGAAATGGCGTCTTACCCCCACCTTGGCGTCTTAAGGTCAAGCTACACGGGACACTTTTTCGGTTTTTGATTTTTCGGTTTTTCGCTTTTTCGGTTCGATTTATCGCTTTTTCGCGTCGGTTTTTCGCTTTTTCGATTTATCGCTTCGTGACTTGAGTTTTTCGAGTTTCGCTGATTTTTGTTTAGTTGGAACGCGCTGTGCAACCGCCAGCTCTTTTTATTTTGTTTGCAACCAGTGCAATGCTTTGGTCGCAGTTTTGCCTAGGGGCTTTAGGGGTCTGTTTTGTTGTCTGTTTTAACAGATGGAAATTACTTAAACTAGATCTCGTCTGTTTTGTAGTAGGAAACTGGCTTGACTAAACTTCCAGCAGCTCAGCTACTAACCGGCGCCCCGCTGGGACTCCTGGATTTCCACGCCCTGCTGGAAGGGGGAACACCCCTTCTAACTTGGCTCCTGAGCCACGTAGCGACACGCCGTAGGTGACACTTGAAGAGCTAAAGAATAAGGAACAAACTGCTTCGGCCATTTTTAGGTCAGGTTTAGGCCAAAGGGCAGGTCACCAATGGTCATCGAAGGTAAAATGTCGCCAATTTCTATAGGTCAAACTTCGACAATTTTCGACAAATCGGTCCATAGCTCAGGAATGGAAAGAGCTATAGCGCCGCGGAGAGGCGCAATCAAACGTTCTTTTAACGTTCTTTCGCTAGCATGACCTCAGATTTGACGTAAGGTCCACCGTTTATCCTGCAGGGGCATAAGCGTCCAAAATATACGATTCTGCAAAAATAGTTTTTTTCCGCAATAACTTTTTACTCTAAACTTGCACGAGCTTTCCTTCACCAGAAACGTGTTTCTCTGGTCGAGACGCATCGAATGAACCTTAACCCTCGCCGGACCTATTGTTTTCTACATACGCGCCGGCCGAGGGGGGGGGGCGGGTACGACCCCCCCCCCTCGCCGTTTCGCCCCTGGTGGAGCTAGCGCGTCGCGGAAAAAACGAGCGTGTGCGCCGTTACGAGACGCAGAGATTGGTACCCGATTTTAAGGTCCTAGGTCAACCGGTGACCTCTGAGGTCAGGTCAAG